GAGGCTATTGATTTAAGGCTCCCGTGGCTATAAGCTGTTTGCTTGAATGCTCTCTTGCATGCTTGCCCTTTGCAAAACTATCTGAACTGATAGAGAATTTTGACATATCTGGCCACTATGACGCATCACTACTTGTCGATGTCGTGCTCCTTACTCTCTTAGTGCTGCACAATATCCAACACACCAACACCTGCCACCGCTGCACAATATCCATAACGCTGGCACAAACTTTATTTGGCTTAGCCAGCGGAGGAATTAAGACGCATTTTTTCGAGCACTTTCTTAGGTTTTCCAATTTTTTCCGTTGCCGACAGGGTTCAAATGAAATTTGTAATATTTCCGCTAATTTTCAAACGCTCTATGAACCCTTCACAAACTTTTCCTGAAATTTGTTACACATTTCCGTACTGTCTTCCAAGTATTTCCCACCTATTTCTATTACTCTGATATCAAGCACAATAAAACTTATTATGCATTATCATTCCAACTGACTGGAATTTCCCGTAAATTGCCCGCATTCATACTTTTTTAATTAGTCATGCATTTCCTTCATGTTTCCTAACTTATACCTCACTTTTTTCATCCATCTTGCATACATCTACAATTCTACATGCATTCTGTACGTATTCATGTTCTGTATTCTCCATATAATGAAATTTGCTAGAGATAATAACACGATACGAATATTTTCCTCATCTGAATAAGATCCGGATTACCATAATTCCGAAATGATCTGAAATTCAGGATTATAGAGAACATAATAAGAGTATACAAGCATTTTGAATACAACTCGAAAATCATAATTACTATGTTTTCATTGTCATTATTTTATTATTATTATTTTAATTTTAATTTTGAATTATTGTCATCAATATTTTTATTATTATTATTACTATTATTGTTAATGGTAGAAGTATTCGGTCCTAAGAAATAAACTTCTTGAATGCGATTCGAAAACTATACTTTTTTACCATATCAGTTTTTCTTGTCTAAGGAAGAAAATATGTTTTTCGCCAGTGTATGTTTGCTTGAAACCTACCTTGTATGGCATCAATGATACTACGGTAATATTTCACTTGCCCCTCTGGACTGAAGCTGCCACGATCATTTACACTGTGCCGCGCTAGCACTCGTGTAAATATTTAGTATCAATTATGCAACGTAAAGTGTGAGCTTTGAGCCTGCAGGCAATGCATGCGTAAATGCGGGTTAAACGAGCGCGTATGAACTCTGTTTCCGCAATGGGATATTAAAGAATTTTCTCAGTTTTAAGCTTTGTTAGGCAATCACGATGCTTCTAAAAGCCATGTGGGCTGAGGGCAGGTTGGAAGAGAAATATAAGTACAATTACATATAGAATATATGTAATTGTACTTATATAATTATAACATTGAACCCTAATTGTGCGATAAAATAGGTTTCCTTCATTTTTTACAGCGATGGTTTATTGCGTCTATTTTTAAACAGGTATTTGAACGAGGTTCTCTTAAATCGATCGTTTACGAAATAAAAGTTAACGCTCATCGAATTGTTTCATATGCATATACCATTGTTGGTGCTTTTTCGTAAAGTAGTACCTATCCACATCAATTTGACCAGAAATATATACCATCACGAAGCTAACAGATAGTGTAGAGGTTGTGATTTAAACTATTCGCAACACACGACTGAGTGCGACAATGGCGATATAAACGAAAAAAATTAGAAGCTGAAAAAATTATGAAGATAGCTTGCAATCTAACGAATCATCGTAGAAATATAGCCAGAATAAAATTAATAATAAAAGCATAAGCTAAATAAAATATTTATTGCTCTTAAATGAGCGTGGTTTCAAACCATGCGGCCGCACACGATAATAGCAAAAATGACTTGCTGCTAAAAATTTTAGTTTTTCTAAAACTGTTACAATTACCAGAGGTGGTTGTTGTTACATAGTCTCCTGAAAAAAATTAATGATTGAAAAGTTTTAAGGAAAATCTCTCACACTGATACAAACAGTGTAGACAATAAATTCACACTTTCGACTGACCCCTCAATTAATGAGATGTAAAAGACAACTAGAAATAAGACGATACAAATTAAACCATTTAAAATTTAATGAACTATAAGGATTTCCATAACATTGTTCCCAACATCCAAAAAAAATCCGCTAAAAGCCGCGATACCATCATTCGTGTCAATCTAATAAATTTCGTGCTAAAATTCATTCGGACAAATAGCTACCAAATCAACATTTCTGTTCACAAACTCACTGCTCTAACTCTCGCATAAAGCAACGGAACAATTATGTAAACGTGAGAGCTTTTCCCCACGCCCGTCACTCGATGTTCATATTTGAAGTACGTGTTGATGGTTAGAATTTAATTTGAAATATTAACCAAAAAACATAATGCCTGAAGAGAATTAATCCTTGAATAAATATAAATTTTCATGCCCGTATTCACTAGTATGTAACTTTCAAATCGGCGGTTTATGCGTCTGTGTAGCTTTAAATTTGTCTCCTAATAAATTTAGCATAGTGATCAGTCATCCAATTTTGCATTTGAACAGCAAAACTTTTCACTTCTACTGAGAAATGACTGAAATATCGTTCTATCATGGGAAAAAATTTTTATCTTATGCACTGATGAAAACGGCACTGAAAAATATCAAATAAAAAGCTGCTGTGACCAAATGGATGACGGCTGCAGAAGAATGTCTTCGGATTCTTGACAATTTTTTAAGAGATCTACAGTTCTATCTTCAACGTCGATTCAAATCACTGGTTCCACGGTCTGCAAGACTTTTTCGAAGGACTAACAAAGATACAGATTCATCATTCCGCTGGATTGCGTGCATTGAATCCGTCTGTACTAGAAATTTTTTGCTATTAAAATTAGAAATTATTGCTACTCAAACTGCATTGTCTACCAGAGTCAAGTCTTCTTAACGTTCATTATTGATTTTAAGTTTATTAGCATATGCTTCGTGATTTTTCCACGCCGTCATCTGCAATTACTGTTAAATATTATTGCATAGTTATTGTATAAATATTTATTGAATATAATTTTTCTAGAGGTAACTGACGGAATATAGTTAAGGGAATATTTCGAATTCGCTTCGTATGTATCGCAGGAATCATCGTTTCTGCACTACAATTCTAGCTTATTCTAATAATAACGGAGCAACGCTCCACGTACACGACTGATGTTTGTCAGAGGTTCCGGCCATGTTTTATAACGGCATTAGTTTATCTGCCTGCAATTTTTCCAGATTATTTCAAGTTCCAGAGTCATTTTTACATAACTACATATCTTAATGCTTAACCATAGGCACCGGCTGCTGACCTCGCATCAGTCACATGGCGCCAGATGCTGAACAGACTGTCGTGGAGCCTTAGCCGGCATACAGGAATTCAAGAAACAATCGTATTCTTATATTCTCAGGAAAAATCGTGATTGGTTTTAATTGTCGCTTTCTGCTATGTAATGACGCTCGCTTTTTGATTTTGGATTGAACCATGGCAACTTCGCTTCAATTTAGATTTCATGTATAGACCAATCATGTGTCATACCATTCAGCAATGTTGAGAATATTCCATAAATGTAAACCCCATAATGTTTATTATATTTTGACAGGACCACCATGACAGCGCATAATGTTGCAGTTTGTGATTTAGTAATGCAATATATAATGTTATAGCGTGAAAGTCACACAAGATATAATGACATATTGAAGTTCCTACCAATTTTTCGCCCATAGGGGAGCCCACAATGCACATAAATAATTATATTTCTAAATGGATAAAAAATTCAGTTTAGGACCCAATAACAAAGAACAGCATCAGCACAAGTACCAAAAAAGTTTCTAGATCGAAGAACAGAACTCAGGACGTAAACATCTTCGTTGAAATGGAGTTTCCTTTGAAAAGTTGAGATCCAGAATTGCCTTGCAAGCCTTTTACCTTATCCGTTTAAGAGATAAAGTGACGACAGATTTTACTTGGACTACATTAAACTTCATATAAACATTTTAAACGGTTGAAGAAATAGCTCATATACTTTTCTTATCAAAAGCACAATTAGGGATCTTAAAGAGAATAATTATTATTGGCAGGTATCGAGACTATCGAAGCAATTAACTATGCGACTGAAATTATTTTTGGAAATATAATTTGTATTGCAAATGGTTATTATTTTGATGTTTATTTTTTGGGAACAAATTTTCACCCAAACTGTGTTAGGCTGTAATATAATATCGAGTCAATTTTGGGGTCCTTAATATACAAATCACTCAAATCAGGCAATCTTATATATAATTAGTATAATATAATATAATATATTAACATTTGTTTCATCCGGTCAATTGAACAAAATGTTTGTAAATTTGGCTTAGAAATGTTAGGAATTTTTTTTCGACATCAATCATAAAGGGAAAAATTTTGCATAAATGTATAGAAAATACCCGCGAAAATATGACGCAAATGAAATAGGTACAAAATGAAGACAAATTGTATTAACTGTAAAGAGGTTGAAATCAAGTTTCTTTGGTAGAACGCTATCGAACAAAATACATTACTTCAATTTCACTAGTAGAGAAAACCATTCATTACAGTCAAGCGGAATCAAAGCGACTCGCAAATTTAATAACGTTAATTCGTACGAAAATATACATGGTGTCGAAATCTGATCAATGTGGAAGGGTCTAAAGAGACCTCAGGGAAATATCACACGAAGCTGCGAGACATTAATTCAAGGGCAAATTAATGATTTTAATCAAATGAGCATCCACTTTGAAACGCTCATTCTTTGTGGGTCTCGTCTTTTATTCTAGGGTCAATGAAAGAATTACGACCTACAAAAAATTTATGATATGGCATGACTAAAGCGCACTAGCCGAAAAAAATGGTTCATTGATATTGTTTGCTATTGAATTTTGCAATGCTGCAGATTTGAATCCGATTATTTTATTGAAATAATGCTAAATATTTAGTAAAGCAAAGTTATATTTTCTTGGGATCGATGGTAGAGAAGGTCGAGACTTTGATGGACGAGCTGCTTGATCCTGAGGATGTTTGGTGCCCTGAAATCCTTCTCAAGCAGGATAAAGACTCGGCCATCAGATGCTGGATTTTATATTGTTTATCCACTTCAAAATACTAGCTGATAATAAACAGATTTGCGTTTAGGCTGGCGTTTAGGGTGTAAATTCCCCTTTTGATAAGCTAATCAAGCTATGTGAACATGTGATAAATTTAATGTATTAAAATTTCACATTGTAATAAAGAGATATAATCAAGTAAATCAAGTACTCATTGCCATATGTTCTATAATACCCACCTGAAAATACAAGGATTATTTCATGATTAATCTGAAATTCATCATTACTATGTGGAAACTTTTGGACTCAAGATATTCATCTGTTTAATAATGTCCCACAAACGATTCTGTATTTGCTTATCCATTAAATAAGACGCACGGTGAAGCCTTACAAACAATTCGGTACTTACTCATCTATTGTATACTACGTTCAGTAACATCGTATAAGTAATTCTGCACTTACTTAAATATTGTATCCGATGTTCTGTATCAAATTGTATATTTTCTTCCAAAAATCTTGACAATGAATACAATTAATAAAATATGAAATAATTAAATACTCTCTGTCTAAACTCACTTCCTTTTCGTTCCAGTTTCGAAGACCATGAAGGAGCTGGACCTGCGCTGGAAGAAGGACGATCCTATCAAGATGTACCGGGACCTAAGGATGCCGCAGTTCGAGATCACCAATATCGTCGATTCCATCTGCCAGGAATCCTTCCACATCGGTGAGGGGGGTGGAGAAGGAAGCTCTAAGTCTAACCTAGCTTAGTTTTCAGCTGTGAATTGCGAGGGGAAACCTCTCTAATAATTTGTTCAACATCGATGAGTGGTAAGTGTGGACATCTCAACTAACTTGCCCACGCCGGTGAGTGGCGAGAAGGAAACATCTCAACTAACTTGTTCCGTATTAGGTGAGTGGCGAGAGGGAAACCTTTCAACGAACTTATTCTAATCGGTGAGTGGCGTGAAGGGAACTCTCAATTTACTTGTTCCACGTCAGTGAGTGGCGGATTGAGAAGAAAGATTTTAACTGTCTTGTTTCTTACAAGTGAGTGGTGAGAGGGAATGTATCAACTAAATCAACACAAGTGCCTCTCAACTAACTTGTTTACATCGATGTGTAAATTTTATAAGGCTGTACGGTACACAGAAAATGAATTCTGTAACTTAAGTGGGCGATAAAATTACAGTGAATGATAATTTGGGTAACCGCAAAGTTCCATTAGGTATTAGTAATGGTTAGAAAGGTATTGCAGATAATAATGTCGTAATTAATAATGGAAAAAGAGTATTAGCTGAGAGCAATGGAGTGAAAATTTGTTCGAAGAAGCGACAATATGGCAGAATATATGCACAAATTTCACGTGAAATAAAATAACGCAACTATACGAGTGAATTAGGTATTCAAAGATAATAGTGTGATTGTTGTGTAGAATATATTATCCACAGATGCCAATATTTTGCGGCAAAAAAGGATGAATAATATGATATAAATTAACAAAATAGTCCGCAAAATCGAAAATATTAAAAAAATTCATGATACCACGATATTAACATTTCCAGCAGTCAAAAGAATTTACATGGGAAGTTTATGGCCCAGGCAACTGATTATTCAAGCAAAAAGTCTGCGATGAACAAAATGCTAACAAGAAAGAGATGGTAAATATTAGTAAATGAAATCCGCATGAATATTAGGCGCTCATGCACCAAACCCAGCCAAACAATTTAGGTGTTAACCGAGTTCAAATTAAGTTATATATACAATTCATTAATTCATTTATGCGTATGAGCATCTTACTCAGGAAGAATATGAGGAACAAAAAAGTATACAAATTCCCGACATTATTAAGCTGGAGACGCGCTTAGTCATAGCAAGTCATCTCACTAATTAAAAATGAAAATTTTTTCATATATTGATGATGGGCAGAGCTAATATATATATTTATTCTCACAAATGGCAGAAATTTATGATCCTGATGCTTGGGTTATTATTCAAAAATGAAAGATGAAAAAAAAGAAATTATTTTCCTCAATGAAAAAATATTATCGCAAAAAATCATAAATCAATACATAGTGAATATAGCATAATTAAAACCATCGATGAATATTTCTTATTTCGTATATAAGTATAATCCTGCCCATAAAACATCTAACTACCATTAGTAGAGATTCACGCCTTGACTTATTGCGATGGAACATATCACAAAGTCTACGGACTTAGGTATGCGCATTCAAGATTTTTCTTCAGAGTTTATTTTAATTTAATTAACGTATTGGCTTTACTTTTCCGGAAAAAAATTACGCGAAACAAAAAGTTATGAAACTAATAAAGAATAAAATTTATTTATTTATTTAAAACAAAATATGTAAGTAATAACTATACTATAATTAATATACACATAAATAAAAAAATATATATGTACTTATGTATCAGTAAATGATAACAATAAATATATATAATTGATGTACAGCATTTTTTCATTGCCTCTGTTTGTTACACTTATTCCTGGATTGAAAACCATGATATGTTCAAAGTTTTAAAGTCAGCAGTTTCATTCAATATATGAACTAAATGAGAAATTCATGTATATTTATTCAGCTCTCATGCGTAATTGCACTCTCTCCTTTTATTGCGCGCTCTCAACACGATCGAAAAATCATGAATTTATTCCTCTACATGAAAACTGTATCGACCCTGAATAATATTACACAATTATTCTGTTCATAATAAAACTGAAAACTCGAGTTTAAACACTGTTAAACTTCAATGGCCTGCGTTCCTGCGAGTTGTCGAGTGAGAACTTTTTCATCTTCTTGATTACATTGTGAACTCCCCACCGCAATTCAACTTGAAAGTTGTCGCTAATCTAGAAATTTATTCACTTCAAAGCGGTTAAAAGAATGTTAAAATTTCTCGACAATTAGTTCAGCCGCTTCTAAAATAGAATTAGTATTCATAACTCCTGAAATTAAACTCGAAAGTTCTCGCAAATCTAATGGGCTTTTGCAACACCAATGTTCGGAAATGGACGTGTTTAGAGATTGCTCTGTGCATCGTCACCATGCTAAGTTACCTCCAACGATATTTTCAATTAGTATCATTCAAACATCAATGTAAAGCGAGAATTTTCAACAATGACAAAAAATCTACATTCATCCGCACTCTTGAAACTTATTACGCTATATTCGCCTTAATAATATTATTCAATATTTAATAAATTATTTATTATTTCGACGAAAAAAAATTAAATAAATCAGTAAATCTTCAATTTCCGGTTATCAATCAATTATCAATCTTCTCTTCATCCGGTCATCAATTCCGGCCAACTAATTTCCCAGCGTAAAGTACCTAAAATGTAGAATATTCGATTTTCTTGTGTATATTGGACCACAATTGTTTTTGTTTTAGCTTTGCTTGTTTGTTTGTTTTGTGTTGTTGTTTTGTTCTTTGTTTTCAACAATTGTTTTTGGAAATAGCTTTTTTCTTGCTAAGAAAAATACCAATGGAAGCGTTGGTCCGAGCGCACTTCTAACAAAGGATTCTATCCAGAAATCTAATATATTTTGCCCAGCAGCAACATTAGGTTTACCAGCGCGCAACAAGCTGCGCAACGCGTGCTTCTCAGCATCAAGATCAAATTAACCGCTATTGCTTCTTCGCCGCGGAACAATGACTATAAATATATTGTCCATTTCACCTGTAAATAAACAACCTAAAATCACTAGAACTCGCTAGCTGGACGCCTAATGCAAAGAAAATATGCATTGAATTCAATCCTTTTTACCAAATCTGCTTGAGTTTGGAATAATTTTAATTTTTCTTGTATAGGAATGTGCTTTTAAAATGCCTATTAAGAGTCTGATATACTAGGAAAGAACATCTCAGAGAAGCATAGCAACAAAGCTAATTATTTAAAGAAAAAAAATTGAATAAATTTTTTATAAAATTAAATCCGAAGAGATTTATTATTGAACTAGAAATCACGAGTTTTTTTAATTTATCCATCCAAGTAAGTTGAAAATAAAATTAAAATCTCACATGATCCACCATGCATCCATCACCAAACCACAATACCAAATGATCAAATGCAGCCCGGCGACCTAATCCAATAAAGTTCTACTGCCGCCTCAATCGGAACAAGTCTTTGTGTGGCTTTAACCCTCAGAATCGTCCCACTTGCATGCAAATTCAATTAACTAATGAATGGCGAACGGCGTTTCATTAGAAGAGCTTGCAATCACTCATAGGCAACCAAATTGTGGAATTTACTGCTTTTGCTTTAATACTTTACACTACTTACTCGTGATGGTTAAGTGAAGGACGCAAAATAAATTATTCCACATGAATTTAACTTTTTCTCCTTTTTGAATTAAGATAGTAACATTGATTTACATTTGATTCCATATTATTCAACACAAGTGAGTGGTGAGAGGTTACGTTTGAATATTTAATTTATTTTGGGACACAATTTCAGTTATTACAATAATACATTACGTAGTTCGATGGGGTATTCCTTTACTTAATTCCATGTCCGTTACTTGCCTCGTATTTCGTATAGCTCTAAACGTGTGGGAGGGAAATATTATAAAATTCAAGGTGCAGTTAATTTCTCGGAGATTTTGGCGGTAACTTAGGCGCAGCCCCAGCGGAGCCTAAGATTCGTTTTCTTTACTCAACTCTTAAAAATACGTTATTCACGGTCATGCAGCGTTGGTTTAGTTTACTATTAAAAGTTTTCCATCGTGTCTCCTTGCACCTGCGCAGTTTAAGGCCATGTCGCATTCCATTTGGTTGCATTAGATTGAATTTGGGAAGAAAGTGAACTCGTTTTTGAAGCTGCAGTTGGTTCTTTTTTCGGAATCATATTGAGCACTTTTTTTGTCCCTCGTCTGTATAGAATTACCAAGGTAGATTTCTGAATAAAATGTTATGTTTTACCCATACATTGCTTCCCCTACTGGACCACTTACGATTCGTTAAGATTTTTCTAGTGTAGCAGACCACATGCCGAAAATGATTCAGAATGTTTCTGAAGTTAACTGGTGAAATTTCGGTTAAAAAAAATCGTTATGATTAGATATAATTACGGAAACTTACTCCCACATTTTTTTACATACAATAAAAAATTTAGTTGCACTCTACTATCAGTGAAATGACAATATCCATCTTTTCAGAATTGTTTCAAACGTACCATGTTAAATTATTGATCCGTAAAATAGATAAATAATCGTGATAAGCTGTTAATTTTTCCCAATTCACCCACACTTATTTAGATTAAAGATCCGTGTTTTTATTTTATCGGAAGTCGTAGTTTTCATACACCATGTATAAACGTTTATTTTAAATTTATTAAAAAACACTACGAAAGTAATATGTATAAAATGAAACTCATGCTTTTATGTAAGAAAATTACGCGTGTGTCGAGAATAAAAATATGGCGAACTTTATGATGGCGACTTTCGCGCCACAAGGGAAACAATGTCTATTAACCGGCCGGCCAATATAATATCATTAAAGTAACTTACGCAGCTGTTATTCAATATACCCTCTAACGAGCCGTTTTAATGACATAAAATTAGAATGCGCAGCTGTTAATTAAAGTCTCCGATATACCATTCTATTGACATGGAGAAAACATTTGTTGCTTTTCAGATTTGAAAATTCATTTTTCATATTCAAGTATCAACAATTGAATTGCAAATACTTTTTAAAACTCTCTAAAACCATATATCTATATAATTCTTGTATTGATTTCAGTCATGTACTCGACAAGCGAATGGAGTGAAGCGTAGACAATTAAGCTTGCAATGGTATATAAGGGCAAAAAATATAACTCAGTACTCACTGCAGTGAGTGACAGAGAGCACATTTTCTCGTCGACGAAAACGTGAAGTCACGGACGGACGGACAGACAGACAGACGGACATGGCGAGCACAATAGTGCATTTTTTCCATAAATGATAAAATGCGCTAAAAATACCTACTACATGTATGAATTCTGTGGAGTCTAAATATATATATATGAACATAACACCGGGAGTTCCGAGTTCGAGTCCTAACTTTTAAATCTCCACTAACGACCAAACTCGCTGATCTCTTTAACAAAAAATTATCGAAGTTCAGATTTGCGGAGAAAATTTTGCGAAAGAAGAAAATGTTAGAATTGATGATAGAAGTTTAGAAAACAGATAATATTGACTGCTGATAAGTAAATTTGGCAGTTGATGAGCAGTGTACCTGCTCATCACTTGCTTGGTCCGTTCAAAATATTAAATGTGCTAGAAGAATCGCTTATTTAATTAAGAGCTCTTAAAGAAAATAGTGAGTACAAAGAGGAATACGATGCATTTTTTGATTAATCTAAATTCAATAACCGAGTTCGTTTTATTACAAATAATATCGTACAAAATAATTTGGTTATAAAGAATCGCAATAGGATAAGTGTAATTTCTCGTCTGAAGTTTAAATTTATCTATTTTAAACTAGGATAAAAGATGCTGTAAATTCAAACTTGTGGAAGACAATACATTCAAAAATGCTGGAAATACACAGATGCTGATGAAGAAAACATGAGGCTTCATCTCTAACGGGTTGAGAGACTGAAATTCATTATATAGCAGCTATAAAGAGCTCTAAATGTCGGAAGAAACACCTTCCAGAGTGGAGATTTGCATGGGTTTGAATTCAGGATAACTTTAGTTTTATTTTTTTTGTGCTCCTTTTGAATTTCTTTAAAAGTTTATTTATTTATTTATTCATTTATATTATAGAAGCCTTCTGAACTCGCGATTTGGGTCATAGTTATACCCTATACAAATATTTTCGGCCATTCCATTTAACATTAGTGTTATCAGCAATGGAATTATAGCTATGAAAAAATATTGTTTCATCACTTTTTGTCTTCAAAAAGAGATAGTTTTAATGAATAGTTTTTAATTTTTATTTTGTTATATTATATTCGAAATTATATTATATTAAGTTTTAATTATATTATATTAACTCATGCTAGTCAGCTCCGGGAACAATTTTTCTCTTATAGCAAAGTGGGATCTAACTGCGCGTTTGATGTAAATATATATGTTATATAACATTCCTCTCTCCAGTGAAAAACCCAATATTTTAAAATATCGTCCACGTCTCGTTACTATAACTCCCTGAAATCGGACTACCGCTAATATAGGGAAATCCTGCTATTTATTTATCATTTTAGCATCTCCAATGTTATAATAAATTGAATCCGGATCATTTTTGTGGTTATCGGAATTTTTTTTTGCATCAGTACAAAGATAACATTAACCTCTAAACCAAATACATATATTTGTAATCTACCTTTTTGACATAAGTCGCATAACGTTATGCGGTCTACTTTATTTCGATAAATAGGTAAGATATACGATCATGTTTAACACCAGCCTCTCTAACACAAGCATTTAACCAAGCCCCACTCGTCTCCAAATTTTATTTTAAAATAGATATTAGGGGCAGCTACTTTATTATATGGCACTAATATGAGAATATTTTCCAAAATACAGGTCTTGAAATAGCCGTATTCTTGCCACCGATAAGGTTACTTGATTTTCACTTACGGTGCCCAGACGCATCAATTCCTGAGGCAGGTTTATAGGTTAACCCGCTTAATTGATCATTAGAGTTGAGATTGATGGTAGGAGCAGAAGCTGCCTTAACCGGAACCTAACCGCCATGACGAGCGCGTACTGAACTTAAATTGGCACCTTCATAATAACGAAAATAACTGTCAACATGCGATGATAATTATACAGACATACAACACAAGTGGGTTATGATTTAATCATGAATAAATTTCCCTAAAAATTAAAGAGCATTAAAAGCGCGTCCAATGCAGCCGACCCGCTCAACATCTCCCGATCATTATTGTTTAAAAAAAGTAATATGTGATCAATGATAATGCAATTTCCATGTTTAGTCATTTACTTTATACTATTTATATAAATGTAACCATTCCAGTTTCGAAAGTTTTTCACATTTATATTTATTTTTTTACAAATTTTGTACCTTTAAATCTACTTTTTTAATGTTAGTGTTATTTCATGTTATTTTTATTTTTTATCGACTTTTATCGACTTTAGATGTCGCTCGAAATCAATTGGTCACTCAGCAACAACGCAAATACTCATAGTTTCTATGTTCATTCTCCAAAATTTGAGCCATGCTATCAAAAAGAAATATTTTGATATTTTTTATCATGAACATTTTTCCACATTCATTTCTATATACACGTTCGTGTACATAGAGATGATCATCATTTCAGGCAACTACAGCTGCCTAGTTGCAGAGTTCCACATGCGTCGGTCGCTGGGCTTCCACCTGGTCCAGTCTTACCTGCCTACCATCCTCACCGTGGCCATCTCCTGGGTCAGCTTATGGATGGACATCGGCTCTGCGCCAGGCCGAACTACACTCGGAGTCACCACGTTGCTCACCATCTCGTCTAAATCATCAGGTTTATTTTAAACATTTGCTTTCATTTATTATTATTGCTGTTGCTCACTATCTCGTCTAAATCATCAGGTTTATTTTAAACATTCATTCGCGTTAATTGAATCTTAATGCTGTTGCTCACCATCTCGTCTAAATCATCAGGTTTATTTTAAACATTCATTTGCGTTAATTGAATCTTAATGCTGCTGCTCACCATCTCGTCTAAATCATCAGGTTTATTTTAAACATTTGCTTTAATTTATTATTATTGCTGCTGCTCACTATCTCGTCTAAATCATCAGGTTTATTTTAAACATTCATTCGCGTTAATTGAATCTTAATGCTGCTGCTCACCATCTCGTCTAAATCATCAGTTTTATTTTAAACATTTGTTTTAATTTATTATTATTGCTGCTGCTCACTATCTCGTCTAAATCATCAGTTTTATTTTAAACATTCAGTTATGTTAATTGAATCTTAATGCTGCTGCTCATCATCTCGTATAAATCATCAGGTTAAGGTTACGCATTCCTCTGAATAGCTTGAGCAAAAATTATTCACCCCACTGCCAAACATTCTGCCAAATCATCATGGTCCTTTTTAATTCATTTGCATCAATATAATCTTACTTCGGGTCACCTCTCCACCGATGATCTCGTCTAAATAATAGGGTTAATATTATTTTATTTGTTTGTATAAATAACACAATATAACACTAAGCATAACACTAGAAATAACAAAATCTCCACGCTATTTCTAATCTAGGTTCAATTATCTGGTTCATTATAAACATTTGTGTAACACTTGGTTTAAAATTACGAGCTTATTTTTTAGCGTTATTTAGGATTTGGCTTTAATCTTAAGTCTAATTTTTTTTAGTTTGTTCAAATAGCATAATTAAGTCACACTCCCTGACGTCACATTATTTACAACTTCGGTCTAATTCCACTTTAAATTGAACATTGAATAAGCCACTTTCATGTTATATGCGTGAAATAACCATACCTAAATTATACATCCGGAAAGTATTACAATCCCCGAATAAAATTCGCCTAAACAGCGCTTAGAGCTTTGTTTGAAATTTGTTCCTTGATCAAAACTGGAATTCATCCGACATTCGTGGTCTCTTTAATATCGTTTACAATTACCCTGGTGAAGTTGATGTGTTTAAGTAATATCAAGCCATCAAAATTTAAAGAGTAAATGGTCATAATTGAACATTCCACAGAGACTTCTCTTGTGTTCAAGACTGTTATGTTTTGAATATCACAAACAATATCACAACATGAAGCCCTGACGAGCTTCATGCAAATCTTCCCTTATTCGATATGTTGTTCAGTCTATGCCACAAATTTGTGTCAGTATACCAAAGTTGATTCTCATGATTCTCATGACACAAGAAAAAATTCTCATGACTTGACTTGATGATTCTCATGATTCTCGAAAGGATGACACAAGTAGGTTTTATCGTTTCCTCTGTAATCATAGTATAATTAATTACTTCATTTTAACATTAAACGATCCATTTTTCGATATAATGTTCAGTCTATGCCACAAATTTGACGTATCTGCAGAACTCAACTAAATCATCTTTCGAATTTGTTCCAATTCAATCTTTACTTCTCGATTGCATACATTTCCAGCTTGAAGTTTTCTACATGTAATCGTCGTGACTTCTGAGGTAAGTAATCAACATAACTCATGATTCCCATGACCAACTCTAAGTCAGGATCTACCTGAATAAAATTACAACTTAAAAGCCGTAACTTTCGATTTATCCATTTGACTAAGAATCAATTCAGGTTTACCATAGAATTGGCCTAAGTTTAAGATCACATTCAACTAGTACGGATCCATTCAATGCATCGCACTCGGTATTTTAATTTGTATTTTATTATTCGGAACTATTATTTCGAACATTTTCTTTGTTGTATTTAGCATTGTTCACCGTGCAGAGATCCAGGGCGACCTGCCGCAAGTCTCGTACGTCAAAGCCATCGATGTCTGGATGGGTGCCTGTACAGGTAATAAATTCCGGAACAATAATAGCTAAAAAAGAAGTAATGATAAAAGTAATAACGCTTGGGAAAATATACTATACTTATTTAATTTGTACATTAACTAAATTTATTTTGAATAAAAAATTACTTCTGAATTATTCGGATGAAAATTCAGTGCCAATTGTGAAGGTATCATTAGCAAATTTGTCCGAGCTTCCAATTAGTTCATCCATGGGTCGACGGTTCAACATTCAATAGGTTGTTTTCATGCTTCCATGATTACCATTATTAAAAAAAATGTCGGCAAAATAAATCGTAATATTTAGTTCGATTGACTATTAAATTATTTTATAATGTAAGAGTTACATTATCATTTTTGCGTTGTATTAATAGATTTCGCATATTAGCGCAAATCTTCCCTAAATCGATAAAAAATATATGTAATCTCAGCTCTTAGAAGATGCTCAAGCTTTCAGCCGAAGCTTCTTCAAGAAACGAAAATTACCTTACAAAATATGACAATCGAGAATAAATTATTGTATTATCCATAATAGTATGTGTTTCTAGTAATATGGAATTATCGATATATCATTTCAAAGATGTGGGCCCGCTCCTCGCTCGCGTCACAGCTCAGTGACCCTCGGAGTCGGTGTAGGCCACCATCAGAGGCGTTAAGGTCTCGGCCCTGATCATTGACATGAATCATCAGGTTAAGGTTCCGCATTCCTCTGAATAGCTTAAGCAAAAATTAGTCACCCCACTGCCAAACATTCTGCCATATCATCGGGTCCTTTTTAAGCATTCATTTGCATCAATGTAATCTTACTTCGGGTCACCTCTCCACCGACGATCTCGTCGAAATAATCGGGTTAATCATATGTTATTTGTTTGTATAAATAATACAATACAACACTAAGCATAACACTGGAAATAACAAAATCTGAACGCTATTTCTAATCTAGGTTCAATCATTAGGTTCATATTAAACATTTGTGCAACACTTGTTTTAAGATTACGAGCTTATTTTCTGTCGTTATTTAGGATTTGGCTTTAATCTTAAGTCTAATTTTATGAGTTCGTTCGAATAGCAAAATCAAGTCCTCTCCGCGTCGTCGCATTATTTACAACTTCGTTCCAATTCCACTTTAAAATGAACATTGAATAAGCCACTATCATTTTTCATGCATGAAATTATCATACCTAAATTATACATCCGGAAAGTAGTATAACCCCCCAATTTAATTTCCCTAAACAGCGCACAGAGCTTTGTTTGAAATTTGTTCCTTGATCAAAACTGGAATTCATCCGACATTCATGGTCTCTTTAATAGCGTTTACAATTACCCTGGTGAACTTGATGTGTTTAAATAATATCAAGTTCGTGGTCTCTTTAATATCGTTTACAATTACCGTGGTGACCTTGATGTGTTTAAATAATATCAAGCCACAAAAATTTACAGAGTAAGTGGTCATAATCAAACATTCCACAAAGAGATTTCTCTTGTGTTCAAGACTGTTATATTTTGAATGTCATAAACATTATCACAACATGAAGCCCTGACGAGCTTCATGCAAATCTACCCTTATTCGATATGTTGTTCAGTCTATACCACAAATTTGTGTCAGTATACCCCAGTTGATTCTTATGATTCTCATGACACAAGAAAAAATTCTCGTGACTTGACTTGATGATTCTCATGATTCTCGAAAGGATGACACAAGTAGGTTTTATCCTTATCTCTGTAAACTAATATAATTAATTACTACATTTTAACATTAAACTATCCATTTTTCGATATAATGTTCAGACTATGCCACAAATTTGACGTACCTGCAGAACTCAACTAAATCATCTATCGAATTTGTTCCAATCCAATCTTTACTTTTCGATTGCATACATTTCCAGCTTGAAGTTTTCTACATGTAATCGCCGTGACTTCTGAGGCAAGTGATCAACATAACTTATGATTCCCATGACTAGCTCTAAGCCAGGATCTATCTGAATAAAATTACAACTTAAAAGCCGTAACTTTCGATTTATCCCCGTGACTAAGAATCAATTCAGGTTTACCATAGAATTGGCCTAAGTTTAAGATCATTTTCAGCTAGTACGGCTCCATTCAATGCATCGCACTCAGTATTTGAATTTGTATTTTATTATACGGAACTATTATTTTGAACTTTTTCTTCGTTGTATTTAGCATTGTTCACCGTGCAGAGATCCAGGGCAACCTACGTCAAAGCCATCGATATCTGGATGGGTGCCTGCACAGGTAATAAATTCCGGAACAATCGTAGCTAAAAAAGGAGTAATGCTGAAAAGTAATAAAACTTAGAAAAAGATACTATATTTATTTAATTTTGTGAATGAACTAAGTTCATTTTGAAAAAAAGTTACTTCTGACATTATTTGGATGAAAACTTAGTGCCAAGTGTAGGTATCATTAGCAAATTTGTCCGAGCTTCCTATTAGTTCATCCACGGGTCGACGGTTCAACATTCAATGGGCTGTTTTCATGCTTCCATGATTACCATTATTAAAAAAACGTTGGTAAAATAAATCGTAAGCTTTATTTCGATTGACAATTACATTATTTAATAATGTAAAAGTTACATTATCATTTTTGCGGTGTATTAATAGATTTCGCTGATTAGCGCAAATCTTCCTTAAAATCTGATTTTTTAAATCGAAAAAAAAACTTATATATATAATCACAGCTCTTAAATGATGCTCAAGGTTTTAACCGAATCTTCTTCAAAAAACGAAAATTACCTTACAAATATGACTATCGTGAATAAATTATTATATTATCCATAATATAATGTGTTTCTAGTAATATGGAATTATCGATATATCATTTCAAAGACAGGTAGATATCTTTAATACATTAGGAAGGCACCCTAGGGGCATCGAATAGTTCCAATTCAAAATGTTTTCCTTCTACAACTTTGGCAGAAGAAATAAGAAATTACCCGAGTTTGTTTACTTAGTATTTTGTTTCATCTCCTCTGTTGGCGTGAAGTCTATTTTACGAGGGTCTGAAGAACAAATCTCATGGATATCTATCGTTACTTTATTTGGAAGCTAGCATTTTCATTGTTATTGGAATTATTTTTAAAAGTCTTCATATTTTGATTAAAATAAATAGTTCTTTACATTACCATCAAATATTTCTTTAGGTAACACAAGTAATGATTGATCGATCAGTCGGAATTTCTATTGCGAAAATTGTGGGAGCAGTTCTTTTTTTAGAATCAACGAAACTAAACAATATATAACTCATTCATCCCAATGAATTTGATTAGTTCATCACAATCATTGTGCTTTTCATACGATTCGACACTACATTCGAACTTATCTAACGATCAAGATTCGAAAAACGGTAAATAAATTATGTTAACGCAGCGAAAAACAAATTTGTAAGCGAACAATTTTCCTTGTTGCATATAACGCCATATTTACTTTACAAAACATCATTATTTCGATTTGTTTTACATAAAATTTTTTTTCAAACTGTGGCATTCCCTCCGAACATCATCAAATGCTCCAAAGTTACTCCAGTATTCCGTCCCCGAAATGATAACGCTCGCTTGCAAACACTCAGTGATATTCTAGGATATGCCAGCAGCAGAAAGCAATTAGGCTGCTTCAAGTCGTACATGGCGATCTACTCCAGCAAAACGACCTGCAAATTCACACTGCTACTGAATTTTGGATTTAAATGAAAGCAAGAAACTCTGCGCAGCGAGCTGTGATTTGGCAGCGAGTTTGGGGCACTGTGCATTTGCCTCGGGTTCATCGTGCCTCTCTGAACTCGCGTCTTACACAAACGAATGGCTTAGTTACATTAATTTTCTGTTTATTAAAGTTTATTAGCAAATTTCATTAGAGAACTCGGGTTGACTTATTTATCTTCGTGCTCTGCCAGCTCAAAGATTGGCAATGTTATTGAGTAAAAAACACAACATTCATAATTAATTTAAATTCTTTGTACTATAAACTTAATGATAGATTATTTATCAAGATATTACTATAAATAACATTAAAACACTAATATTTGAATGATTGATACAACTTATATATATTGAATATTCGCTTTCCAATCAGTAACAATGAGGAGAATAATTTAACTGATTAATTAAGTTTCATGAATCAATTTTTTACTGTAATATTGATTGCTTTATTCGATCTTCAATTAATAGGATTTAGTATATTCCATTTACAAGGCCCTGCTAAAATCTTGCGCGCGTCCAAAACTCCATTTTAACTAAAACAGTTTTTACAAATTAGAGTCACACATTTTACATTAGAGTCACAGTTTAGAGTCACACTTGGTTTGGAGAACCAAGATGCCAGCGCTCCCATCTGGTACAGGTTGACCCAATCCCCCCTGGTCTCCTATACAACCAAAGGCCTGCATTGACCCTCAATTATCTGGAGGTATAGATCTTGCTTGCAGATTTAAGACACGCTTGACGGCAAATTATCCACACCACTGCAAAATCTTCTGTGATGGCTCACGGCAGGGAGACAACTCATCGACGGCCTGTGGAATATTTATTCCGGAAGAGGCTTGGGCTGTAGCTTGGCGCCTCCGCTCGATGCATGGTATACTTTTTGCCGAACTATATGCTATTCTGCAGGCACTTGTCATGATATCTGAGAGGGCGCCGGCACAGTGGGTGATATGTTCTGATTCCAAGTCAGGCTTGCAACTCATAGCATCCCCAAGCACATCTTGCACTTCTATTGTATTGAGATCCGCGCACGCTTACTGGCTCTGCAGTCTACACCTGGGGTGACTGTTGACCTGCAGTGGGTAAAAGGCCATGCTGGAATACATGGCAATGAAGTGGCTGACAAGGTTGCACAGCTGGGTCACTCACTTGACTTCTCGGTGCTCTCACACATTGAGCAATCGGATCTCCAGAGTTGCCTACGAAGAGGATTGCGTGAGCACTGGCAAAATTTGTGGATGAGGGAGGTAAATGCAAATAGAAAGGGAGTTCACCTGACCACAATACGCAGCAACTTGTCTCCCGTCCCATGGGTGGTTGCACCTACCAGTAGAGCTGCAGTAGTCCTGGCCCGACTCCGCCTGGGCCATGTAGGCCTTGGTGCATATTTATTTCGCTTTAGTATGTCACCCTCTCCAATGTGTGGCAACTGCAACGTGGAAGATACAATCGAGCACTACCTTCTCATCTGTGGACTACATCGAGAAGCTTGGCTGCAGCTGGAAAATGCGGTGGCCACCTATGGTATAGATCTTCTTACAGTCCGTGACCTGCTGGGTGGAGGAGACTTCCCACGAAGTGCCCAATTTGCAATAGTAAAGGCCACAGTTGCGTCCATCAAGAGTACAGGACGCTTAAACAACCTCTGAAAGAACAGCAATATTTTCCTGTGACATCACCCTGACCTAATGGAAAACTGTTGAAGATCTTTTGATTAATCCAGGTGCAACATGTGCCCTGTTGAGAGCAACACCAGTCACCTCAAAACGGATAACAACAACAGAGTCACACATTTCCATTTTTAACGTAATCAGAATTTCATAACTAACATACAGTGTCACCTAATAAACACACATTTGCGAAAATAATGCAACTTGGCAAGAAAATCAGTTGCCTATTCCGCAAAGGAACAAACGATATCGTATATTTTTTAATAATTTCATTAATCGGAATCAAATAAAAATGGGAATCTCATTCGTCTACTCAATAAATAAATTCTTCCAATTTTTTCACAAATAATCAAGTATTTGAGCTACGACACGTAATTTTGACTCTATAAAGCACCCCAGATGGCGTCCGGTATCAATCAGGTGCCTCCTAACACATCGTGTGGATTTTTACTACACGCTCCAAATCATCACCTAAATTGACACCTCTTTGCGGAAATTCTTTTGTTTCGATTATCTTATTATTATTGTTGGTTACTTCTGTGATCAGATTCGGTCAAAGGGGGGGATGAAGCTTCCACAACTGAGAATTTAATTTGATTTAATTTAATTTTAGTGCGTTTATTCGGAAAATTAGTTTAATATTTTTTGTCTGCATCAAATCGGAGCATGGATTATCGGAGTTTTTCAGTAAGAAAATCTTCGGGTAGTAGGAAACTTTTCGGCCTTTAGTTATCTTCCATAAATCAAATATGCTTAGCTTTCATGTAACCATCAAGCTTTTATCCGCAGCTTTCGTGTTTTGTGCTCTTCTGGAGTTCACCCTGGCCAACTACATGTGGAGGAAGCCCCCTAAGGTGCCGGCGCCCAAATCCATGGACGGCCTTAGGAACATCAAAGCACAGGATCTAACCCACGACTGCATGCCGACCAACACCTCCAGAAAGACTGCCAGCAATGCTTCAACAGCAACGGCAAGGCTGATCTCGACCAGGGCATGGACCCCAATCTCTTCGCCGTCCCGCAAAGGAACATTACGGTTTGTTCTTAGCCTCTATGGCCATCGTCGGTCGATGTCAACTGGAGTAAAAATTCGGATTTTAGTAAAAAATTGTTTGTAACCCGAGTTTGGAAATGGTCATGGAACCCTTCCCTGTGCTGTCATGAAATTTTTTTCACTTTATCCTAACGGGTTCATAGCCCTTGGGGACGACGTCGGTCAACTGGGATATAAACCCGGATAAGAGTCAAAAATTTATTATGTTAAATTGTAATTGGAGTGGTCGTAGACCTTTTCGCCATGCATTTGTGAACATCATTTCAAATGCTCCTGGTGGGAATAGTGAATTTGGTTACAATGTAAGTAGTTTTTAGTATGTTATGCATATGATATCGATTTTTGAATGGCATATCTATAATCTTAATCTTTGTTTCCGAGCTCGACAAAAATTTCCATGCCACTATCTTCTTCGGTTTCATAAAAAAATGGAAAGAGGTGACTGGAAATGAAAAGGTGCGCCTTGTAGAGAATAAACAACATTTTCCATTGGCGAGCTGACGCAAATCAATATCATTATGTGTATATGCAAATCAATAATATATACAGCTTACGAAATGGAACTAATTTTTTATTCAGTGGGTCCTTACGGCGTAAAAATTTTACCGATTTTACTGTATAAGCGCTCTACGCAAGGTCTTCGAATGATTATCTTTGGTTTATATTGATGTTTAAAGCGGAATATTTTGTGCTGGTCGCACACTTAATAATATTTTGTGCTGGTCGACAATTTTTTCGTGGTACGGAAGTAAAAAACCCTCTTATAATGAGCAGCAAGTTACAATGACTTTGATTGATTTTTCCACCCCTCCCTCACTTATCAAAACGGAATCATAAACAGCTTTTTGATTTTTTGTTTGATAACTCATGTCCAATATGATTTGTTTGATACCACATGTCCAATATGAGAAAAAAGGTTCATATGGCCAAAAGGACAGCACCCTGCATGTGTTTTCATCAATCGACATTGACCATAATTAATTAAGTTACCCTTACAGCACGTGAGCGGACGAGTGCCTATGGTAAATGACCTATCGCTGCTGGCGCCTCATCTGCTCGCGAACGTTAGCACCAACTCCTCCAAGGATCTCGCTCTCGCCATTGACTCTCACTGCCGCGTCCTCTTCCCAGTCAGCTTCGCGATCTTCAACGCCTTCTACTGGAGTTATTATTTCCTTTATTAGAATGAATGCATGGCTTTTTCTTACTGGCGGGATTATGAGACACTAAAGACTCGTGATTTGGGAAATTAATCACTTGATAGCCATTAGCAAAATTTTATCTTAACACAACTGTTCTAATTCCCACTATTATTTCAATTGAATATCTTAAGCCCATCCGTGTGCATAATTTAATGTGAGCAATTTTAGTACTTCCCATCCTTTGATTATCTTGTTAGTGGTTAAGAGAATGTTTCCTTGTGTAATGATTTACGTCGTGCGACAAATGAGGAAAAATTAACGCTAATGACAGTTGAATAAAACTAGCATTTGAACAAGTGGGATAAAGCATTATTCAAAAGAGTAGAAGAGGCTAGCTTTCATAAAAGTAGGAAAAATTTGCATTTACAACGTGGAAGTTTGAAACCTAAATCAAGATATTGGACTTTTCATTATTAATACACAAATGGGCCTCCATGTACAAACTTCTGAAATTCCACCCAAACATACAATTGCCTTAGTATTCCTTAGTATTTGTTTGGGACGTAGCAGTCCCAGGCCACGATGGATCGCCGCCTCTGATTATCGTTCATCCGCCCTCATTTGGGCCACCTGATGCACGATGCTGTTGCTTGCTTCTCGCCGCTGGTAGTGTTGCAGGGGAGGTCGATCTGGGATTGTGCCCAGGAACACGTTCAGTTATCTGTTGAAGGTCTCCAGGGTGAACTCCCCCACTCATAGATCCATTGGTAGGGCATTGAACAGCCTTGGCCCTGCCACGGAAAGTGATCCTTCCCGCAGGGATTGAAATCTGACTGCGGATCTGTTACGTAATGATAATGTTATCATTATCATGATAATGATAATGTTGCGGGGATCTTTGTTGTTGCTGAAATTTCTACAAGTTTTCACTTGAGAACAAAAATCTAGTGTCACTTAACTTCAATATTGTATAGATTGACGTTCGGAGCAAAGCTTGTTAAAAAATCTTGATCTTTCCGAATCGAACTATTTCATGCAATAATACGCCTTAGCTGAATACGCATGGTTTTCCAATGAATAAATATTTGCATATTATAATTGGAAATTATTGTTGCATGAGAAATATTTCGCATGCTATCTCTCTCAAGCAGACTTTTAATCGAATAAGTGGAACATATTGAATACACATGCAGAACTGAAGTAAACGTTTGCCATACTCTTAAACTATGGTATATTTAATTTCCACGAATTATTATCTAAAAAATTCAAGCGTTCCTCTATGTTTAGTTGTACAATATTGTCTTTATTATTTAAATGTTATTTTATATTATTTATTTAAATGTTGTCTGCAGCAGAAAGACGTATGGAGTGTATACAGAACGTGATACCCTCCCTTGCAGTACACCACCGTTAAAATAAATATGTTAGTATGACATCCGAATGACCAACCCAGCTCCTTGTTCAGCCCGTTTTGCTTCTTGGTGTTCAATCAGTTCTGTCCCACCCTGTATAAGCTAGCTAACACATTTAAATTGTACCTATATTGTAATTAATATATAACAAATGGTCAAATAGTTAAGACTACTTATAGCCTTATAAGAATTAGCTAAGCTGCTAGCTACGTACAATGTATTGCACTCTTGATGCCTCTGTACCAAAAACATTCCATTTATTAGAACCTAATACACACTAAAGGCAACAAGTTTATATACAAATTTGTCATTCATAGTACATTTATACTAAACCATGAATAACAATACCTCAATATAAATTGAAGACTGCCACTCAATATTTTTAAATACATGAAAAAATCGAAAAAATAAAAAAAAATCGAAAAAATAAAAAAAAAATAAAAAAAAATCATGATTTTTTTATAAAAAAAAATCAAGTGATTTAATCACATGATTTAATCATTTTGATTTAATCACTGCCAACCCTGGATTGTACAGATTAATATTGAAGTCGCTACAAAAGATTGCTTTATTAGATCTCCTAATTGGAGAGAGTGAAATGCACTAATTATATCCTAATTATCCTAAACCAATTGTATCCTAATTGGAGTACAAGTGAAATGCACTGAAATTTACTAAATTTATGAAAATTTTAAGGTCATATTTAAAAAGAAATCATGCAGATCTGTGTTCTTCAGAAATTATACACAGAAATCGCAGGTAAATAAATAATAGCAAATTTTAATAGACATATTCGAATGCTTGCAATTTAACATGCATAAAACTAAAGTATACATTCTAAGAAATACCAATGTGAAAAAAAAATAAAAAAAACTTAGAATAATAAAGTGGGAAATAAAACATGTGAAAACTCAACTAAAATATTCATTAATAATTCACTTTCAAAACATGACTAGACTCTTTTGTTACATTCCACTCTCGAAAATACGAGTCCTAAGTTTCAAGGTGTTTCACGTAATGTGTAACATGCCTTCATGCTCCTACATGAACCGATGCTATTTCAGAAGATTAGCTGTGGCAAAAGAACTTGGATCTCAACCTAACTCGAAAAGTGTGTAAACTTTACACGTGCACAGAGGCTGGCTAAATTCCAGGGGCGCGAGTTTAGTTCAAGAATATGATAGATCAGCGAGGAAAACTAACTTAGATCTCAATCAAAATAAAAAAATTTGTAATTTTACACCGGCGCAGTGGCTGTAATGATTTCAGTTATGTAGTGTCGGACGTCTCAGAATTAGAATTAGACACTAAGTCCATAACTGTCACAAACGCAGTTTGAACTCCGCCAAACTCGAAAAAAGGTTAGTATAACACTGAAGCGTGGCTGTAATAATTTAATGAATGTAATTTCAGCCTTTTCTAATTAAGGCGATGAACCAATAACTGACGCAAATTACCTTGAACCCGAACAGGGACAAATAGTATCAACATTATCACCTTACATTTCTACCAAACATAAAAAATATTATAAATTTACACTCGATCATTTCAGGTAGGTATATAAGTTTAGTCGCTTCAAAATTAGGTAATTAATCTATAACTTCCATTAACGAACTTGGACCTCTGCCAAACTCGAGAAAAATGTTAACTCCACCTCTGCGCAGCGGATGTGGTAATTTCAGGTTTGTGATCTCACTCGTGGACAATTTCCGGCATAAGCCTCAGTAAAAAAGACGTCGATTTTGGTTGAAAAATAATATAGAGTCATAGAGGTTGAAAAATTATATACAGTCATAATATTACTAGGTCCACTAACTTGCTCTATACAGTCATTCAGAACATATCGCAGAAACATGAAATAAAAACAGCAACGACAAGTTATCTTCCGTCTCAATTTGTATTTTTTCACATTTTGTATCATCATTGCTGGTGAGATGAACATCATTGAAGATTTTTGTAACTGTTCTCTGGTGATTTTGCGTGAAAATAAGTTTAACATCGTTTCAAGTTTTGAGTTAATCTAATTTGCATAATATTAGGGGAATAGAAAAAGCACATTAGCAAAAAAATACAAAATTATTTTTCAATAATGTTCTCTCATATACTGTGCTTTTTGAGACTATAACTTCATTTTCGATTATTTAACTTGTTTGAAAGCCAATAAAATGTATTTTTTTAAACTTGGTCATAATTAAATGCCCACAGACAAGTCTATAGTATGTGAGGAGAGTATAGCAGTTAAATGAAGAGAGTTAAGTAAATAGAGTTTTGACATGTTGATATTTTGCAAGAAGTAGACTAACAGCTCAATATAAACTCTATTATTTTTCCTACCGTTTGCTGGTGTTTAAAGAAACGATCACTTTTAGTATGTGTTCTTTTTCATACCGCAGAGAGATGTAGTTGGAAATTTTCTTTTTCTTTTATTGATGTCGAAGGGTTTTTGCTGCAAAAAACGTGTGGTTTCTTTCGATTCTGATAAATTTTGATTTCATTAAAAATACATTTATAAATGCAAGCTTGTAACTTAATGTGCATATGCAATAGCAAGAGTCCCACGTTTAAGTTAAATTTCTAAAGTGATAAAGCTATTTCTTCATAATTTATGGGGAAAAAAATTGTAGTCATTCACCAGTACCGATAAATACGGTAAATGAACGTGGATCTCCAACAAACTCGAGAAATGTGTAAATTCTACATCAGCAAAAAGGCTGTAAAAATTTTAGGTATGTAGGTTTAGTCTTTTCAGAATAAGAAAATTTTGGATAACTGCCAAAAACGAACTTAGATCTCAACCAAATTAAAAAATTGAGGCAATTCTATTTGCTTGCAAGCCAGATAATATATTTTACAGATATCTCGTGCCTACCAGAATAACTCCACGAGACTTGACCTCATCAATCGAAGTCTCGTCGCTCAATCTGAGCCTCTTCCCTTCATCAATGTCGGCGGCAGATAAACATTTTTTCTTTGGTGAGTTTGCAAAGTCGTTTTGGTGTTCCTTCCTATCGTGTAGGACCACAGTAGGTCTATTGCAAATACTGAGGGATTTGTTCTCGGCCAAGTGCAGTTTGCGGTGTTGTCTTGACGGAGATTTTGGTTGGTGACAGCCCCGGTGACGCCCGCACTGAGGCGCCAAGGAGTCAGGGTGCCCCCAATGTGGACGATGCATGGGGTAACATTTGGCTGCCATTTTTGCGCCACAAATAATTCACTAATGTGAACTCCAGTAATGCAGAGAAGACGTAGGCTGTAATAAAGACAAAACTATCAATGTAGTACTCGTGTGTCGCTTGCATCCTTAAATTTTGCATATGTTAATTTATTTAATTGTTGTTATTCACAACTAGAAAAATGGCGTATTACCATACACTGGGTCATAAGAAATTACAGTTTGTTTGATATAATTTAGTGTCCCATACGAATTTGTATCATTGTAATTTGAATAATACTGTGACGTTTATGTGTTGACTTGCAAAATTATTCCATAACGATGAAATATAGATCGTAGGCAGCATTTCTTCCTAAGTTTTTTTATTGATAATTTTGATTTGTAATTATGGTTTATAATTATAGTTCGTACTTATGATTGCAATTATGGTTTATAAATATGGTTCGTACTCATGGTTTGTACTTATGGCTTTAACTAATTATGGAATTTAACATTTTAATTAATTATTCAGTTTGATGATTTCATATTTGTGTGGAAGCTTATAAGCTTCAAAAATGATTCACTGAATTTTTCGCAGTAATTACTGGAAAAAATGAAATTATTATTAGAATTATACCCACTGGCTCGATTCAGCTACAAGACTGAAATTTTTAATCAATGTTTAAAATTTTAAAACTGATATTTCGAATATTTATATATTTAAAATATTATTTATTGAAACAGCTATCATCTGAGGAAACAATTAAACACAAAAAAATGAAATCCTTGCGAGTAATTGAATCAATCTCTACATTCATTTGATGAATTCTAAATTACCCAACTGCGAAACTTTTAGACAACAACTTTCCCGGCTCTGCGAAGGACAAAAAAAGGTTCATTGCAAATTCTGTGCAATATAGGCACCATTGACAACTAGTTTNTGTGGGACAGCCCCTGTCTCTTATACACATCTAGATGTGTATAAGAGACAGTTGTTGGCCCCCTCCCACCTTTGCGTCCTCCAGTTCAACTGCAACGGGATTCAATCCAGTACAGTTGAACTGGCCACTTACCTCGCCGAGAACGACGTGGCGGTTGCTTGTCTCCAAGAGACCAAGCTATCAGCAGCATCACGCCCCCCTTCCTTCCCCGGATACGCGCTGGAGCGCAGGGTCACCGCCCCGGAGGTCACGGCGGCGGTCTCCTCATCCTGATCCGCCATGATGTCCCGTACACCGGACGAGACATCTCTCCCCTCCTACGTGGCGACACCACCATGGAGGCTATAGCAATCTCCACTCCTCTTAATGGCTCACCTCTCTGTATCATCAACGTATACATCCCACCGGCCTCCTCCTGCCCTCCGGGATACTCCCCGGAGCTCGCGGACATTATCTCCTTCCCGGAAGACTGCCTGATGGTGGGTGATTTTAACGCCCACCATCCCTCCTGGTTCTCCCACACGGAAGACCAGAGAGCCGCAGCGCGAGGAACCACAATTTATTAATTTCCTTTCACTGCGTACTTTACAATTAATGTAATAAATCTTCTCTCTAACTGATATATTAAATTTTTCTTTCCCGTAGGATTTTAATTACAAATAAAAATAGCGGAAAATCCTTGAGGCAAATCCTAGAATCCACAACTGGAAAAAGGTAAAAAAACCTATAACAAATCGTGAGATCGAAAAAATTCAAGCTGCGTATTTTTGTTTTTAAATTATACAGATAAACTGTGTTCATATTTAGACGGTATATGAGACTCTATTTGGGACCATACTTTTATAGTAAAAATAATATAATATTCATATAGTAGTGATAAGACACTTGATTGATCGGTCAAATAGCGTAAAAATAATCACTGTGGTATGAGGTAGTGGATTTAAATGGATAAATAAATGAAATTAAATTAATTAAATAAAATCAAATAAATTAAATTAATGAAATTAAAGTTTTTAAATTAAATTAATTAAAGCGCAAATGTTTCGTGGCATTTAATGCAACGACTGGTGCAACACTAGATGCAACACTAGATGCGACACTAGATGCAACACTAGATGCAACACTAGATGCAACACTAGAAGCAACATTGATATTGGGCAGTTTTTCAATATATTTTCTAATTCTATCAACAAAATCCTGACAAATATCAAACGAAAAAAATCAAAATTAAGCATCGTTATTTGTTCACCTGTAATTAAATTATGAATATATACCTGTATATGCAAAACATTCACTATACATGTGAATAAATGCTCAACGTCACCACGAGCAGTGCTTCGTGGTGTCCACCATTTTGTCGTGTCCACTATTTGTCATATCCACCATTTTGTCGTGTCCACCAGTTGTCAAATCCACCATTTTGTCGTGTCCACCATTTGTCATTGTCCACCATTTGTCATGTCCACCATTTTGTCGTGTCCACCATTTTGTCGTGTCCACCATTTTATCGTGTCCAGCTCCCACCCCCTTTTCATGCAGACGTTCTTCTTTAGTGCCGGCGATGGCAGTCATGGCACGCCTACGCATGGCATTCTTCATGGCACTCCTGGCACAGGCCACAGTCCTCATTCTAGGCCTACGCGCCCTACAGGCGTACAAAATACGCCTGAGCGCATCGGACCTCACCGGAAGCGTGGTGGTCACCAGCTACATGGGCGCGGGGTCCAGCGTTGTGAAGTGCGCGGGTCTGGCCGCCGCAAGTGGTGCCGCCGCCACACCCGTCTTCTGCATCACTCTTCAGCAAACCTGCTTGGTCACCAACGCGTACTTCCCTCCCGGGTACACCAGCCCGGAGCCGCCAGTGCATCAGTGCTACACCACCGTAGCACCCCTCTTCGACAAGGGTTTGTACTAAACTGTAACAGCCCTCTTTGACAAGGGTATATACCCTCCTGTAGCTCTCCTCTCAGAAAAATGTATGTACTGCAGAGTAGCACACATCTGCGACTCGACAAACCTCTGTACTTCACTGCAGCGCTCCTCTTCTACAAGGGAATGTAGTATGTACTACACAGTAGGTCCCCCTCTTTGACAACGGTAGGTACTCCATTGTAGCCCTCTCTTCTACAAGGGTATGTGCCCACTGTAGCGCCTCTCTTCGATAAGTGTATTACACTGTAGCTCTCCTCTTCGACTAGGGTATGTAGTTCACCGTGGCTCCATTCCTCGACAAGGGAGGGTACTCCACCGTAGCTCCCTTTTTCGACAATGGTATGTACTCCACCTTAGCTCCCTTCTTTGACAATGGTATGTACTCCACCGTAGCTCCCTTCTTCGACAATGGTATGTACTCCACTGTAGCTCCCTTCTTCGACAATGGTATGTACTCCACTGTAGCGGTCCCCTTTTACAAAAGGATGTACTCTACTTCAGAACATCTCTTCGACAAGGTTACAAGGGTGTATGAAGACGATGCATGTGCAATGCAATGCAAAACCTGCATCATCAGTGGCAATTGGGTGGTATTTCGTTTGATGCTGGTAACTCTAGCTACCAGGTATTTCGATAAGAGGGGTGGACATTCAGCTAATATAATCGCTGAAGAATAGTTGTAAAACTTGAAATCTTGACGAATTTCAGATGGTCCATGGTCATTCTTCGGGATTCTGTAAAACTGGAACTGAGTCTGTCCCTAACCTAGACAAGCCTAATCTAGCCTAGCCTAACCTAACGTAACTTAACCTAACCTAACCGTGGACACGAACAACTTTGTAGAAGTTGCATTTCCTCGCACACGGAACCAAATAACGATTTTGAGACCATCACGTTTTGCGTTCGACTGATCTGTAAATTTGCCTCATTTATTTCATTTGCTGCCTCCTGAAAAACGTTCCAACCAATTGATTATGCTTACGCAATGGCTAATCCGGCATCTAGCCACAGCCCCTGCACCGCTGCTGCCTTCTGTTCAATCATCACCGTTAACTAATCACATCTACCCAGCGGCTGCCCTGGCAACTTGCCCTGAACAGTCCGGCTGCTGCCCTGGACTTTTCAAGTCGGTGAGCAACGTTGGCTGCATCTACGCTTACACCACCTTCTTGCCACCGAGGCCATTCGCCACAGCCAGGGCCATGTGCCAGAGTCTCTGGCCCACGGCAGACTTGCTTGTCAAACCTGCCTTCTGGTGGAGTTTGGACAACTACTTGAGTGATCGAGGTGAGCGAGGCTTGAACTAGTCCTTCATCCTTTACTAGTTCGGACGACTAAGTGCACTTCCCTTCTATCTCATATCTCACAACTAAGTTCAAGTAACTTTTATTTGGTACCATATATAAAGTTGACTTCTCTATTATTTCGCACCGCACCACTAAATAAAGTTACCTCAATTTTCATACCGTATTACAACGTTAACTCTTACATACCGGATGACCAATATAATGTGACTTCCCTTTCTTTCCACTCTCACAACGTCATGTCATGAAGGAGTGGAAGGACCATGGCTGGGCGCCACAAAGAACACCACAACATCGCAGTGGCAGTGGGTCGACGGTACCACTGTGTCTACCTCCAGCTGGGGAAGTAAATTGCTGGGTGGTCTTCTCAAATCGCAGCCTGATGATCAGGGCGAACCTATCGATGGTTATCCCACGAACTGCGGGCACTTCATGTCCGCAGTGGGCCTGCTTGGGGTTCAGAGAATGGGTGACGATGCCTGCGAGCATCTGCGCCCGGCAGTGTGTCAAATCAAGTAGATTGTTGACAACCACATTCACCAAAACAGTGTTATATTTCACTCACAGAGTGCAACTTTGCCCGAGCTCTTTTGCCCTATATAGTGTGGGTCATTTGACCCAATTAGACGCGGTGACTGGGCGCATAATTGTTTCGTCACTCTCATTTTGTGCTGTAGGCATAAAAGTGAGTCTCAGGTTTGACAATATGACCCATCCTATTTCCTGAGTTCACTGCAATGACCGGAGTAACAAATAGGCTTCAGTCTTGACTGTTATATTTCCCTGAGTGATTGAAGTGATCAGTTTGTCCCAATATAATAAATACCGTCATCCTGAACGTCATATATATTCGAAGTTAATGTCAAGTATTTACCGGAATACTATCGTAGGTGTTGCTAAGAAATGAACTTAACCCTCTACCGCCTGGCATGAGTAACTGGAGCAATATTAGTAGTATATTAATATTACTACTATAATATAATGATATTAGTACAGTTAATAATATCAGTAACCGGAGCAATATTGTCACGCGCCTCATGAAAAGATATAATACAGCTTTACCCATATTTTCCAACTGTATTTTTCATTACCTACTTGCACACTGAGTATTTAAATCTAAACATTTCACTCGATTAAACAGATGCTGTTTTTTGTATTAACTTTGTCCTACCAGGAATAAGACGATGTCTTATGAAAAGTCTAATACCAAAGTATTTTGCAATATTATCTAATGTAAAGAAATATAATCTTGATGAACTGAAACATCGACGTACGAAGAAAGAATTTAAATCCTGATATAGGTCCATGAAAATGAATATATTGCATATGAAGTTTGAATTAATAATTAAGTACTTTCTTTATTCTTTATTCACACAGGAGCATACAAAAAAAATCATAACAAGAAAATGGCAAAAATTTGGAGGAAAAAAATACAAAATGCTTCCATGCGAATGCCCATATAAGCTAAAAAGCTTCACAGGCGACATTAGCGATATTACAATCGAAAAACAATAGCATATAATGACGATGGGATAAGACAAAAGGGAACTGAAAGTGACTAAATTGAAAACATCCTGATAAAAACTAACCTTTAGTAAAACTGAAATAAGAATAATTAGCATGGCGACTAAAAATGATATTCAACAAAGGCAATAACAACCCTACCTAAAAAAATTAAATACAACTAAGACGAAAAGTCGAAACAATGTTGTCTTACACCATATTATTTTTCAAAAATATTATTGAGAAAAGGCAATTACCAAAAATCTTACGAAACTAATCAGNTGTTACTGGTCGACGCTTATAAATAAATAGCTGGGTAAGTATGGAAAAATCCATATCGCCATCTCATTTGCGAGTGGAGTAAAGTCTATCCTAATTAGTGAAGAAACGCTTAGGGAAGAGCCGAGCCTGTTCGAAGCCTCTCGGTTTTCAATCAGGGCCTTAAACTTCAGGTGTGACTCACTTGTGGTATGACTCACCTTCATGATACCCTTCACAGTTTGTCGTTTTCACACTTATTGTTCATTTATAAAT